TATTCCCCCATCCTCATATATAAATATATTTGCATATGTATATGTCTTTATCTAGACCTCTATGAATGAGGCATTTTGTTTCTGTGGAAAGTTAGTCTCAGTTTTGTTCTGGCATATTGGGTTGCTATAAGTTGGGATTGATGTGATAGCAGTGAGTTTGGAGTTGGATACACATGGCCTTCTCCAGATGGAATACACAGAAATCAGATCATCCAAAATGAGGACAAAGACTAACAATGGAATAGACAATTTCTAATAATTAAGTTGAAATTAAAGAAAATTAAGTCCACAAATACTACCTTGTGTATATTCCACCAGAATTTCAAGAATATCTCAAGAACGGATTTGACTAGTGACACTAATGACAGACAGTTTGATGAACTGTGGGATAACATCAAGAACATAACACTTGAAGAAAGAAAAAGGTCATTAAGGAGACAGGAAAGAAAAGGCCAAAGTGGATGTCACAAGAGATTGATTGTAGAGTAGCTAAACAAATGGAAGAAATGAAGTAAAAGCTGAACAGAAAATTTCAAAGGGCAGTTTGAGAAGACAAAGTATTATAGTGAAATGGGCAAAGACCAGGAGCTAGAAATCCAAAAAGGTGTGGAGCTGGCTCCAATCCCAACTACATGCCCCTACCCTCCCACCCCCACCCCCAGGAAGGCACTTCAGAGGACAGCACTGAAGCTACCGCTCAGGGAGAGAGACACATTTGATCAGAGCACACAGGAGCAAACGAAGAGAGAAGGAGGGAAAGTGGGACTCATCCTGACCCACCAAGCCCCAAGTATGATATTCCTGCACAGAGAGGACCATATGGCCGGCCCCACCAGGAGACACGACATCCCTCACTGATCCAAAGCGCTGCGGAGGACAACACTAGAGACACGGTGTGGGAATTGTGCCCGATCTGGACTTACCACACCGGGGCAAAACACTAAGGGCATGCAACAGAGCAGTAAGGAGAGCAAAGCCATCTAGTTGATTCTGACTCATAGAGACCCTAAATTGACACCTATTTTGGGAGGACACAATTCAATCCAAGGCACTGGAAAATAAGAGAAAGAATCAAGTATTTACCCTTCCTTTCCTATATAAGCTGTACTTCAGGAAAATCATATCGTTGATAAGTGGGAGATTCAGCTTTATTAAATAACATTTGAGATAACAAAGATTCATAAAATTAGATCTAGAGACTGATCATAAGTCAGAAAAGTGAGAGACAGACAATTACTTGTGATTCCTGATGGAAGTACACAAATATCATTAGTGTTTTTACCTTACATCCCCTCCAGTAGTTAACCTGAATCTGATCAGGCTTCTAGATCAGACTCCTAATTCATAGGAAACAGTTATAAAAGAACGCCATGGGGTCTAACCAGCATTATCCAGACAATAGGTCACTTACGACAACTTACTTGGTTTCTTCAACAAATAGAAGTTGCCAGGAAACATAGAAGATAGGCATTCACCTTCCCTGACACGATTGCTGAAGACAAAATGGGTACATAAGCAAATGTAATAAAGAAAGCTGATGGTGCCCAGCTATCAAAAGATATAGTGTCTGGGGTCTTAAAGCCCTGAAGATAAAAAAGTGGCCATCTAGCTGAGAAGCAACAAAGCCCACATGGAAGAAGCACAGCAGCCTGTGTGATCGTGAGGTGTCAATGGGATCAGGGATCAGGCATCAAAGAGACAAAACAAAAAAATATATTAATGGGAATGAGGAGGGCAAAATGAAGACCCAAAGCCCATCAGTAGTCATTTGGACACCCCCTGTCAGCAGGGCCACAAGGAAGAGACGAGCCAGTCAGGGTGCAGTAGCATTGACGAAACACAACTTTCCTTTAGTTCAGTGGTTCTCAACCTGTGGGTCGAGACTCCTTTGGGGGTCGAATGACCCTTTCACAGGGGTTGCCTGATTCATAACAGTAGCAAAATAACAGTTATGAAGTAGCAACGAAAATAATTTTATGGTTGGGGGGGTCACCACAACATGAGGCACTGTGTTAAAGGGTCATGGCACTAGGAAAGTTAGAACCGCTGCTCTAGTTCTGTAATGCTTCTCCCCCCCGCCCCCCCTCAGTATCATGACCCCATCATCTATCTTACACATCTGGCTAGACCAGAACATGTATGCTACTACAGATAAGAACTCGCAACACAGGGAGTCTAGAACAGACCACTAAGGGGAGCAATGATACTAGGGTGGTAAGGAAAGGGTGGGTGGAGTGAGGGGGAACCGATCACAATAGTTGGCATATGGCCTCCCTCCCAGGGGGATGGACAGCAGAAAAATGGGTGAAGGGAGACAGTGGTTGGTGTAAGGCATGAAAAAAATCCCAAAATTATCAAGGGGACATGGGGAGAGAGGAAGGGGGGGAGGGAGGGGTAAAGATGAGCTGATACCAAGGGCTCAAGTAGAAAGAAAATGTTTTGAAAAAGATGATAGTAACATGTACAGATGTGTTTGACACAATGGGTGGGTGGGTGTAGGATTGTGTTAAGAACTGTAAGAGCCCCAATAAAAAAATTTTGTTTTTTTTTTTTTTAAATGGAAGATAGGCGTATAGACTCAAAGAGCCTTAAAAGCTGTGCCAACCAATTAGAATATATGAAGCTTATTTGTATACTGATTGAACAAGCAAACCAAAATACATTTTGGATGATTGGGAAAATGTAAACATTGAACATACTAGATTAGGGAATTCTAATTGTAAAGGTACATCATTGATAATTATGGTTCTTTTAAGAGTCCTTGTCTTTACAGATAATTTAAGTACAAATGAGTAAAAGCGTATGTATGATGTCTGTTTATTTGCTTGAATATAATTTGGGAAAGATTAGTGGGCAGGAAAGAATGAACTAGAATTGACTATGGTCTGGTCATTGTTAAAGCTGATTGTAAAGCACACATACAAGTGCAATGTATTAGGCTGAACCACAAGAAATTATTTATGTTGTTGTTCTAACTACAACAAAAATATCTTTAACAACATATTTGCTGGCTCAGCAGTTTTCAAGTGCAGTGACATTGACAATGTTCGTGTTGTGCAATTACTACCATTGTTCTCTTCCAAATTACTCCTCCATAATTAACAGAAATGCAGTGCCTCCTAAGCTTTGATTCCCTTCATCCCCCTTCCCACCATCCATGGTAACCACTAAGAAGGTTTGGTGTGTCTGCATTTGCCAGTTACATGGAAGGGGGCCATATGTTTGTCCTGTTGACTGACTTGTTTCATTGAGCCTAGTGTTTTCAAGGTTCATCCATGTCTAAACCTGTATCTAGACTGCATTTCTTTTATGATTGCTTGTCCTATATGAATGAAGTTGTTGTTTCTGAAGGTCAAACAGTTGAATTTCCTCAGTGTCATGTTGTTTAGCCTAATAGTGTTCTCTGTACTTTTAAATATGCTTGAAATATTATACAGTTAAATAAACAAGATACTGAAAAGACATTTGGAAATTTTAAGTCTGACACATTTGCAACACAGTAAAGAACTAGGTTTTATTTTTTTAAAGTGTAATAATAATATGGTTATAGTTCCAAAGAGCCCTATTAATTTTTTAAGTCTTTTTTCTCTTAAAGATCTACACTGAAGCATATAGAAATTAAAATTATATGATGCTTGGAATTTATTTAAAAGTAATCTAGAAATAGGGAGTGCAAGTACTGAAAAAATAAAATGTGCCATGAATTGTTAATTTTGACTGCTGGATGATAGGTTGGTAAATTTGACATTTTTCATAGCAAAGGTTAGAAAAAAGAAAGAAAGCCCGAGTTGAGTCCAGCTGTGTGGGACTCCAGAATGCTCACTCCTAACCATGTGCCCACCACTGTTTCCCAGAGCATGTGTCTGTCACCAGACAGGGACATCTTGTGGCACCTGAAAAGTGACTATTATTTTAATCTTACATTCGTTTTTAACATTGCCTTTTTTTTTTTTAACAAGAAAAAGACACACACACCCCTTTGGAATGATATAAAACATATTTCTCAAATATGATTACTTACTGCCCTCGAGTCAATGCTGACTCGTGAAGCAATCCCCCTGTGGGTTTCCGAGACTGTAACAGTTTAGGGAAGTTGAAAGCCTAGTCTCTCTCCCAAGGAGCTGCTGGTTTCAGACTACCTCCCAACCATGCCAACCGATTGCAGCCCAGTGCAGACCCACCACACCACGAAGATTCCAAAGTATGTTCAAACAGAAATGTAATTGACTGAAAATACTCCGTAAGGCTTGCGGTATTCAGATCTGATAAAGGTTGTGCAGCATGGAGGGAATGAAGCGTGACATTGTAAGGCATACATGGCGTAAGTGGTGAATTGGTAACACGAAGAAACAGTTAATAAGCTTTCCAACAGGTAAATGCCGCCAGACCTTTGAAAGCAGGTCTATTTTGTATAAAATGCTGTAGTTTTATATATCTTGAAAGGCCTCTACCCGTATAAGAAATTACAGAGGGCATTTTTTTATTGTTTCAGAATGGCATACCCAGGCTATCCCCCCACAGGCTACCCACCTTTCCCTGGATATCCTGTAAGTATCGCCACTTAAAATACTCAAGTAGCACATGTCACTGGGGTGGTCCGTGTAAAGATCTGCCCATGACAGATGGTGCAGATAATGCTAGAGCAGGGCTCATCCACATAAATGCCTAGAAGGAATGAGTCAAATAAGTGAGTAAAGGCCGGCACTGTGAGGCAACAGAGAGCCCTCTCTTCCCCTACGGAAAAATCAGGCACGGAGGCAGGTCTAATGTTGTTGCTAGGTTTATTCCATTTCTTCAAATAAAGCCAGAAGTCTGAAATGTGCAGAGTTTTAAAATTGGAAATTAATTTAGAAAAAATCTTAAATGCTGTGGAGCCATAAAACATACATATAAGCTAAATAATTATGTTCATTAATCACCATTTTTAATTTTTGCGTTGGAAGGTGTAAAAACAATTTCGGAGGGCTTGACTTGGAAATCACAAATTCCAGAAGATGAACGGGTTCTGGATTTGTAATTTTGAGACTTTTAGTATTTGGTGTACATTTTATAAAGGTTCTATATGTTATGCTACTGTGAGGAGTAAACACATAGCTGAAACATATGTAAGAATTATTACCTTCAGTTTTATATTTACAAGTTAGTAGGGCTGTTTTTTATCCCTGGAAGAATAGAAAGAGAATCCTATGCAGGTAATGATAGTGTATCTTGCTATAAAGTGAATATGTAGATCTCCTGAACTTATCATAGGAGATTTAGAATTGTGAATATGTTTCAAAGCCCTCATGTACTAGCAACCATTTTTGTCTGTGTAGACAACCCCCAAAAGCTACTTTGTGCTGGTAGTCATTGGTGGGTCAGAGTGTGTGTGGTGGGAGTGGAGGGGAAGGTTTGAGGATGGTTTTCATCCAGCCTTGTAGGTTCTCAGGCTCCTTCCATGTATAAGCCTTGGCTTCCTCCTTGAGACCCTTTGCTTCCAGCTGCCAGGGAAGGAAAGGAGAAAACGAATGTGGAGATCTAGCCAGGAAGTCTCCTATGGACTAGACTCGGACCATATTGCCCTAGTGGAGAAGACTAACAGTTTCTGCCACACTTAGACGTCATCTGGTTTGAAGTGAGGTCCAGAAACAGTAACGCCCCCAAAATGTCACATTCTGTATGTGATTTGTGGCTTCTTTTCCCACCCCCCCACTAAGCCACACACCCCACTGTGTGACAATTATAAGAGCAGTTCAAGCCCAAGGGAAGCTTTCTGCTCCCATAAAGATCTATGGGAGCCTCTACGCTGTCCTGTACAGTTGATCTAAATCAGAGTCAACCAATAGCAGTGAATTTGATTTTGAGTTTTTAAGCTACAATTTTAGGTGTGTTGCAAGAGAGCCATTATTTCTCTCCTTGTGGATGGAGAGGAAGATCTTAATATTTTCAGATGCCAGGAAAAAAGGGAACTAATGAATTTAGCTTGATGTTTGGAAAGAGGTTGGTTCTTACTCCCAGATAAAGAAACTGAGGCCTCTTATCTGTCTCAGAATTAATTGTAACCAAAGTTTGACAAATGTCCTGATAAACTAATAAGTGATTATCTCTCTGTGCTCCTTTTTTAAGATGGGCCATATTTCCCTACGATCACATTCATTTGAAAATGTTTCTGGTTTTCAGCCTGCAGGTCAGGGGTCATCATTTCCCCCTCCGGGTCAATATCCTTACCCTACTGGGTCTCCTCCAGTGGGAGGAGGTGCCTATCCACCAGCACCAAGTGTTGGCTACCCTGGAGCTGGTGGCTACCCTGGAGCTGGGGGCTACCCTGGAGCTGGGGGCTACCCTGCTTCTGGGGGTTACCCTCCTCCCGGAGGTTATCCTGGTGCTCCACAGCCAGGGGGAGCCCCATCCTATCCTGGAGGTGAGTAGCACTTTCTCTCCTTTCTTCTCCTTCCTGCTGGTTCTGGCTCTCTGACATCAGAGACAGAGGGTCTCTCGGGCATGGCAATTGAGAGCGGTCTCAAAAAGACATGATGAAAGAATTAGAATTAATCTCATGGTAATACAGAATCAATATATAATACGTTGCTTCTCTTTTTGTAATCTTAAGAATTAATACAAGCAGTGAATGAATGAATTGTGAATGAATTCCATGCCCAAGTCTGTCTTTAAGTCAAATTTGTAATGCAGTCAGAACATATCTACTTTCAGTTAATCAAATGTTTGTCTTAGTCTAATGTATATAGAGTATGCCCCCCCCCCTTTGTGGTGTAGAAAACATTAAAGAAACACTTTCCAATACACTAAAACATCTTTAAGATATAGTAATAATAATATGGTAGTAATAATAAAAATAATGTTGTAATGTACATTGCAAAGTAGCTCATTTGTTGTTATGGAACAGTGTATATACCTACCTCAAAATTTTAATATGAGGGGCATTAAATTTTTGTGGAAAAATAGAATTAAAAAATAATGGACTTCCATGGATTTTTTTATAAAGCCCCCTCATATACTAGGCTTTAACTACAAGTAGTTTGCAGCCTGGGGACTGCCTATATTTACATATCTAGTTAGTATGATTTTGCTTTAGGACAGTGGTTCTCAATCTTCCTAATGCCGCAACCCTTTAATACAGTTCCTCATGTTGTGGTGACCCCCCAACCATAAAATTGTTTTCGTTGCTACTTCATAACTGTAATTTTACTACTGCTATGAATCGTGACCCTTGTGAAAGGGTTAATTGACCCCCAAAGGGGGGTCAACTTAGGACAATTTAGGTAAAAAGGGTAAAAAAGTACTTAACTATATTAATAAAACCATTGCTTTATATGAAAAAACTTTTTTAACCTGGAATAATTCATTTTTGTAAGAAGCTAGGTAAAAACAAGAAAGATTTTTAATGGGAAAGGAGTTAGTAAGAAGTTGAATTTAGACAAAGGGGGACTACTATTGTTTACAACATTCCTAGCATGTTTTTTTCCTACTAACAGTAAACATGTTCATAAAGTTTTCTCTGAAATCCTGAGAAGTATCACTAAAACGTCTTTTAAAATTATTTCTCTCCCATTCCCCAGGCCAAGGATTTGGAGTCCCACCTGGTGGAGCAGGCTTTTCTGGCTATCCACAGCCACCAGCACAGACCTACGGTGGCAGCCCAGCACAGATTCCCATGCCAGGTAGGTACCAGCTGCCCAGAGGAACACAATACCGTAATCTGAGCTTTCGGTTGTCACTGAGTGGATTTAGTTTATATTTGAGGTCAACCAAGCCAAACTCACTACCATCAAGTTGGTACTGAGTCACAGAGAGCTTATACACCTGTGGGTTTCTAAGGCTATAACTCTTTACAGGAGTAGAAAGCCTCATTTCATCCACGGAATGATGGGCAGTTTTGAACGGCTGACCTGATCAGCAGCCCAACACGTAACCATTGCACCATCAGGGCTCCTATACAGTCTAGTAGACAGTTACACGAATTAATGTTGTTGTTGTGAGGGTGGTGGTGATGGTGGTGGTGGTTGCCATCAAGTTGATTCTGACTCACAGCAAGCCCAGGTGTGCAGAGTAGATAGAACTGGTAGCATTTTCAACGCTGTGAGTATTTGTGAGTAGATTGCCAGGGCTCTCTTCTGAGGTACCCTGCATGAGTTTGAACTGCCAACCTATCAGCTTGTAGTCTGACATTTAACTGTTGCGCCCCAAGCAGCTCCTGATTACGTACTATTATAAATAATTTCCAATGTACGGTTTTGTGAAATGTGTTGATTTAATGTAAGGCTTATTCACTGGGAGGATGGAACTAAGGATTCACTTTTTTCAACATTAAAAAAAAAAATCTGACCCAAAGCCAAAAAGCAAAGCCTGCTAAGATTTCTGTTTACTCATTTGCCATCATCGAAACCATCCTGGTCTACTCCAAGTGTTCTTTTTTTTTTTTTTTTCCAAGTGTTCTTTTTTTAAATATATTATTTGTTAAAGTCTTATGTAGGACATGGAATGTTATAAAGTTTCTTATGATTAAAGTTGGTTTAAAATCCAGTAAATTATAAAATGAACCTGTTGAGTAGATAGTGTGAATTGTTGTCATATGTTCCCATATTTATAATAATCAATGCTATTAAAAACTTAAGTCATGTAAGACCTATTTTTAAATTGTTTTATGTAGGTGGCTTTCCTGGAGGACAGATGCCTTCTCAGTATCCTGGAGGACAAATTCCTTTTCCTAATCAGGTATTTCCTCTCATCTTTCTTAAATTATCCATCTGGGTAACTGGATAATGCTGACATTAGAGACTCCCATAAAGCAGAAGAGATGGTCTGTCATAATAGCTTAAGGCTTTGATGGCCACACGTGACAGGCTCCATGTTTTGTTTGGTCCATCTACTTAAGTACATACTCGTGTATAAGCCGAGTTTTATAGCACGTTTTTAATGCAGTTTTTGTGGTAAAATTAGGTGGGATAGTCCCGATTTTTAACAATTTTCCCATGTCCTGCAGCATTTTTAAAAAGTCCTGATTTTTGGAAAGAATGCACGACAAGCTAGGGTATATGGTTTTCGGCTGCCATGTGGCTATTTTGCCAGGACATGAGTTTTATCTATGGTGCCCCGCTTTACCAGTGTTAAAATCTGGTCCCCTTAGTCTATACGGTAGTTGGTACTTCACAGTTGATGATGCTGGTTACTTCTCCTAGATTCACTCAGTCTCTTGTTAGTGATTTTAGTTCTTTTTTTTTCTTTTCTCAAATCCCCCTGACAATCATAACTGTGAACTTTGGTGACCAGGTGGTTGACATCTCTAGCAGTATTTTAGAAGGGTGGTTTTCGTTTCCACTTTTACTTTAATAACTTTCCACTCTTCTTTCAGATTGATACAGAATCCTTTCCTTCCTATCCTGTTTTCTCTCCTGTTTCTTTGGAGTATAGCAGTGAAGTGAGTAAGGCTCTCTGATGTTCACGAATCATTTGTTCCCCTGTGCGTGCCTTCATTTGTCTCTGGTTTCTCACCATTTCCTCTAGGGCTCGACTCTCTCTGTCTCTCTTATATTTATGTCCCTGTAGTACCTGGAGAGACTTTAAACATGGTAGTCAGTTCATGCTTATCGACTTTCCTTCCCCCAGAAGTAAAGCTTTGCTTTGCCTCTTTATAGCTCCTTATTTTATCACGAAGTTTCATTCTTCAGTTTACTTAAAGCTTATGAAGTTAACTAGGAACATGAACATAATACTTTTATTTACCTTTGCTCTGATTTTCTCATTGGTTAAAAAAAAGTGATTTAAAAAAAGTTCATTATATTAATTTTAATTCCATTTTTCCATGAAATTTTTGAAGCCCCCTCATATAGTTGATTTTTAGAGACGACATTTTATGGCTCAATATGTAAGATTTTAAAACGTAGAATGTTATAAGTGAAGCACACATGTATGTGTAACTTATTTTGTATAATAGTTACTGCCTTAAGATAGACCTGAAATCAAAGGTAGAATGGCAGGTAGACATGGGTAGGGCTTTTAGATGGACGTGGAATAGTCTACTTTCTGAGGGATGAACTAACTCCCTGTTACTGAAAGTCTTCAAGTGGATGTTGGTTGGGAGTTTGTGTGTGTGTGTGTGTGTGTGTGTGTGTGAGAGAGAGAGAGAGAGAGAGAGATGGTCTTGCCCTTGTGTGTGAGAGAGAGAGAGAGAGAGAGAGAGAGATGGATGGTCTTGCCCTCTTCTCCCCCAATCCCTTTACTTTCACAAGTGCTAGCATCTTGCTGTATTCAGTGGGTATAAATTTAAATACAGTTTCAGTACTTAAAAACAATTGAATAATAATTTTTTAAACCTGAGTAATTTTATATTTTGAAACGATAGTGATTACATGTTGAAGTAAAGATATCTTAGATCCATTTAATTAAATATATTACTTAAATGAAAAAAATAAAGGACCAAAGATTGCATTTGTAGTTACGTCTACTAAATCTCCCTGAATTAATCAGAACAATTTCTTAGTCTTTCTCCATAACCTTGACATTTTTAAGAGTACTGCCAAATATATTATAGATGATCCCATAATTTGGGTTTGTTCAGTATTTCTTTAATGATTAAGTTCTGGCTGTGCCTTTGGGCACGAATACAAGAGAAGAGATGCTGTGTCTCATTGTGTCCTTCCAGGCACAATGCAGTCAATGAGCGATGAGAACTGATTTTGAGCCCTTGATTAAGACGATGTTTGTTATTCACTACAAAGTGATTAAAAACTAGATACAAATACCTAGTTTCTCATACTTTCTTTTTAGTTTCTCATACTTTTGCCCACTAATTTTAGCATCCATTTATGATTCTGGCCTGAAACAGTTGTTGTTAGATGCCATTGAGCCAGTTCCGAATCAGAGTGACCCTGTGCACAGGAGAACAAAACCCCACCTGGCCCTGCGCCATCCTTTGAGCTGTTGCATTTGAGCTCATTGTGGCAGCCACCGTGCCCATCATCTTGTGCAAGGTCTTCACTGCCCTCTACTTTACCAGCAGCGTGTCCTCTTCCAGGGACTGGTCTCTTCTGATGACATGTCCAAAACACATGGGGCTAGGTCTCATTGTCCTCCCTGCTAAGGAGCATTCTGGCTGTACTTCTTAATTTTCTGTTTCCACGCTTGTATTTAAAAATATATCATTAAAAAAATAAATCATTTCTGATTTGTTTCCTTATAAAATATATGAAGACTATTGTTCCTCCTAATTTTCAATCACCACTTTATTTTGTACTTTATTTATGAAATGTTTTATTTTGGAGTCTTGGTTGCATAGTGTTTATGTGTTGGACCACTAACCATAAGGTCAATGGTTCAAAACCACCTGCTGCTCCATGGAAGAAAGATGAGGCTTACTATTCTCATAAGAATTACAGTTTCGGAAACCCACAGGGGCAGTTCTGCCCTGCCATATAGGGTTGCTATGAGTCAGAATCAACTTAGTGGCAGTGAGTTTGGTTTTATATAGGGAATAAAAGATATTACCAACCTTTTATTTTTTTGTCCAAAACATAGATGGACAACTCATATTATGTCTTTAAATCACATGTACTGCCACTCATTTCATACTGCCCAATGATTAATTCCCTCCCCCGGTATTCTACCAAAGAGGAAACAAAGGCATGAGAGAAAATTGCTACTTTAATTTCAGAAACTTTTCTCCTGAAAGTTTGGCTATCTGTTGACAGGAGAGAAGTCTGTCATGAAGGAGAACAGATCTTAGATATTTCCTGACTGGATTTGGACCCTAGTGTGAACCCGAATCAACTGGAGAACAATGAGTAATAGAATGCTCCAGGGGAATGGTGCTTTGATTTGATTAGATTCATGGGTTTGATTCGCAGCCACTACACATCTGTCGTTGGAGGTTTGTGTGTTATGCTGAGCAGGTTTCAGCAGAGCTTCCAGACTAAGACAGACTAGGAAGGCCTGGCGATCTCCTTCCAGTGAAGCCGTATGGGTCATAATGGTTAATTTCCATTATACTATGAGTTGAGGGTTGACTGCACAGCAACTAACAACAATAAAATGTTCATGTCCTCACCCTAAAACCAAACACTGGTTTCCTTGTCTAGAGTAAAATGTCTTCGGAAGTGATAAATGGCCTTTTTGTGAGCAGAGAATCTGGATTTTAATTCTTTGCCCTGTGTTCTCAGCCAGCTGCAATGACTCAGGGCACTCAAGGAACAATCCGACCTGCTCCCAACTTTGATGCCATGAAGGATGCAGAAATTCTCCGGAAAGCAATGAAGGGTTTTGGTAAGAAAACAAAATTTTGTTTACTCAATATAGATTAACTGATTTTAATGTAAACCTTGTATTATAAACCAAGTTTATGTGTCAGCTTGTGTGCAAAGACTCAGTTTGATAGGGCACCTCATCCTGCTGCGCATAACCTGCAGGAGCCCTGGTGGCAAAGTGAGCTGCTAACTGCAAGGTCAGTTATTCCAGCTCCCTGAAAGATGGAAAAGGTCTCAGAAACCTAAAGGGAAGCCCTGCTCTCTCCTGTAGGGTCCCTCTGAGGTGGAGCAGACTAGATGGCAGTGGGTTTGGTTGGGTTGGGTTTGGAAGGTGCACCAAACAGATCATGCCCGTGCTTAAACACGTGTGACTCTTCCAGGTACAGATGAGCAGGCAATCGTGGATGTTGTGGCCAACCGTTCCAACGATCAAAGGCAAAAAATCAAAGCTGCTTTTAAGACCATGTATGGCAAGGTATGTTTTACTTCGTTGTTTTTTCTTTTCTGGGGTGAGCACAAACGTGGCCTATAAACTCTCCATTCTTGTCAGCTGGATACTGACTTTGTACTTATACCAAGTAGAGACAGTGAGACTTCAGAGACCTCTGCAGCAGTGTATTTGGGTTTTTTTCTCACTTAAAAGCCTTTTTCATTTGAAAGTTGTCCTTGATCTCATCGTCATACTTGATATTATGTACAGTTTGTGATAGACCTGCAATAGAAAGGAGAAGGTTATTATGATCATGACTATAACTCATTGCCATCGAGTCATTCCACCCCCTGTGGGTTTCTGAGACTAACTGTTGATAGGAGTAGAAAGTCCAGTGATCATGACTAAGAACTTGATCATCTCCATTGATTCCTAGTCTTTTCCTTCCAGTGGGATTCAAAGCCTTCATAATAGAGCCTCTGCTTATTCCTGGTCCCTATCATCATCTCCCACATGTTTTCTTCCCTACACATACTCTGTATTAAAATAATATGGGACTTCTTGCCATTCCTTGCAAACACTGTGATCTTTCGTCATCCTTTGCTTTGTATGTGCTATTTTTGTGGATTAGAACACTTTTCCCTCTTTATCTGCTTGATAAATTTCTTCTTCAAGATTCAGCTTAAATATCAGCTACTCTGACATTTCTCCCACTGCCCTAGGCAGAATTGGACTTTGAGAAACCTCTGGTGTCATTAATCTCACTGACTGTCCCTGCAAACTGTAAGCTCTCCTAGAGTCAACCATGCCAAAAGTCACCTGGGTATTCAAAGCACCAATTACAGAAATAAGAACAAGTAATCACTAAATAAATCTTTTTGCATAAATCAGTGAATAACTCCATCAAGATTATATGGCTAAGAAGTATCATTTTTTTTCTCAAATACAAAGGAACCTCGTAGCATTGGTTTGCCATTTGGCTAGGCATCCTGGAAATTCCCAGGTGTCTGTAGATTAAGTTTATAAGGTTAGAGGTCCCTCAGTATTCTACTTTGCTTGTTCTACTCTTGTCTTTGTCCTTTTACCCAGCCCAGATTCAGTTCTTTGGTCTTAGGGTTGATCTGAGACTCACAAACCTTAGACTCTCTCTCACATAAAGGTATTTTTCAAATCGTGAGTTGCTCTAGTTTGCCTTGTTTGTGCTGTGTCATCCTGAATTTTCTCATAATTTGCTTTAGAATGAAAACTTAATTTACAGCTTCACTTTCCTTACCCCTAGCCACACTTAACCTTGAGGATTAATTTTAAAATGATTCTTATAGCCTGCTATGGAGTTATTTTTTGGTTCTAATTTAAAAAGTCTTTTTAAAATTTGCTTAAGATTTACAGAGAAGATTAATTTTCTGTTCAACAAGTCATTTTATTTCATGCCATGGATTGTCATCCCCATGATACAATATCACTTATTTCACGTCTTCCTGAGTTTCTTCTTTTTGTTCCTCTTTCTTTCCTAACCCTCCTGTACGTAGTCCTTGGGTAAATGCTGCTCTTTTGATCTCAAGAGGTTGATCATTGTAAGGCATGCATGCATACCTCCCTAATGTTATTGTTTCCCTGAAAGACCTGTCGAGTATTTGGCTGAAAATTCAGCTTGAGGGTGGGTTCATTTCCAGATCGGCAGGATATTTCACCTTCTCTATCTGATCAGTAAGCCTGGTTTTAGTATTTTCCTTTTTTTTTTTAAATGATTTCGAGTTTTCTACATTTTTCTCTTACTCTATCCTGGGCCCTCTAGTGTAGTTCCTTTCAGGGAAGGTCAGTAGTGTTAGTTGGGTACCATCTAGTTCTTCTGGTCTCAGAGTCATGGAGGCTGAAGTAATTGTTTCCAGGGAACTTTTTCTTTGTCCTTCATTGCAAAGACAGGGAGAGACTATTAATTGCACCCTAGAAGGCTGTTTTCAAGATTTTTTTCCTTTTAAATAATTTTATTGGGGGCTCTTACAACTTATCAAAATCTATACATCCATCCATTGTGTCAAGCACAATTGGACATATGTTGCCATCATAATTTTCAAAACATTTTCTTTCTGCTTGAGCCCTTGGTATCAGCTCATTTTCCCCCCACCCCCACCCTCCCTCCCTCCTGAGCACTTGATAATTTATAAATTATTATTTTTTTCATGTCTTACACCGGCTGCTATCTCCTTTCTCCCACTTTTTTGTTGTCTGTTCCCCTAGGAGGGGGTCATTGTGATGGGTTCCCCCTTTCTCACCCTACCTTCCCCTTGCCCTCCTGGTATCGCTACTGTCGTTATTGGTCCTGAGGGGTTTATCTGTCCTGGATTCCCTGTGTTGCGAGCTCTTGTCTGTACCAGTGTACATGCTCTGGTCTGGCTGGATTTGTAAGGTAGAAATGGGATTATGATAGTGGTGGGGGGGAGGGAGCGTTAAAGAACTAGAGGAAAGTTGTAGATTTTATCGGTGCTGTACTGCATCCTGACTGGCTCGTCTCTTCCTTGCTCTCAAGCTTTTTAAGACACACACACTACTCATCAGAAATAGGCTATGTGTGTAGGACGTTTTCTTTGTGATTTATGCTATGCCAGTTGGTCTTGATTTCCCCTGAGAATATGGCCCTAGCCCCCAGGCCCAGCGAGTCATGCCCTCGAGGTTTTGGTATGACTAAGACTTCTTCATACTTTGCCTTCTTTATGCTGTACTGTGTGATTCACAGATATATTTGCAGCATATATAAGTACATATGTAAAATTATCCTCTGTCACACATATTCAGCCAGTCAGTATTTATTCTGTTCCTATTGGATACCAGGCATTACCTGTCGAAACAAAACAACAACAACAACAGCAAAGCAAATCTGCTCCCATGGAGTCAGTTTTGACTCGTGGTGAGCCTCTATGGGGTTTCCGAGGCTGCAGATCTGTAAAGAGCAGACAGCCACGTCCTCCTGTGGAGCAGCTGGTGAACTGACCTGCCGACCTTGAAGTTCACAGTTTGTGTCTGTTGTTCTAATCTATAAAACGACTCTTTAAAATACTCCAGTAGTCTAAGAATTCTCATTTATAGCTTCTGTCACATCATAGACCATCCTACACATTAGTACAGTCTCGCATAAAAGTTTTCCACGTCTCTCTTTAGCTGTGCTTCCCAGGTAATAAATAACCCAAGCATCTATTTACAACTGTCTTACCAAAGCACTTTATAAAAACCCTTTTCTCTGTAATAAAAGGTGTCTTTTTACTGTTTCATTTGACAAGCTTTGCTGATTCTTCTCTCTGTACTAGTGGTTTTCAATCCTAGGTAAGCATCTATCTCCTATGGAATTTTATATATATATATAGTGATTTCTGAGTAGGTAAGATTGCAATTTAAAAGTTTAGATTTTCATATAGCAATTCCATTTTTCTATATTTTCCTTAAAATAATTAAGCAACAAAATTTCATAAGTAAAAATACTCAGATTGTATTTTTAATTAAACAGGATTTAATCAAAGATCTCAAATCAGAGTTAAGTGGAAATATGGAAGAACTGATCCTTGCTCTGTTCATGCCGGCCACGTATTATGATGCCTGGAGTTTGCGGAATGCCATGCAGGTATCATGTGTTGTTTATTCTTTTACCCTGTCTCCAAACCTCACAAAGTAGAGCCATTCTGAATTTACCGTTATAGTAAATCAATGCATTATTTCATAGCATCTGGGTCTAGGGAGCTTTTCAGTTCTGAAAGGCCAAAGAACTATTTGCTCGAACCCTAACATTTAATTATTGCCAGAGGGGTCTTGTGCTTTTGTTTTTCTAATTCCTCCTTTCTTTGTATCACATAGGGAGCAGGAACTCAGGAACGGGTATTGATTGAGATTTTGTGCACAAGAACAAATCAGGAAATCCGAGAAATTGTCAGATGTTACGAGTCAGAATTTGGACGAGACCTTGAAAAGGACATTAGGTCAGACACGTCAGGACATTTTGAGCGTTTACTTGTATCCATGTGCCAGGTAAGTGAGTAGAACATGAATACGTATGTGTTGGTGGAGAGAATGCTTCCTATTGCCAGGGAGCATTCTTTGTCCTTTTACAATTTAGCTGCTTTGGAATCTTGCCATCTGTCACAACACAGAATTCAGTGCAGCGATTTCTTTATAGTCACTGTTGAGTTTACTTCTGCAGATCTGGCTATTGTAAGGAATCAGAAATTAACCTTTTCTAGATTTTCACGTTTTAAGGTAGGGATCAGAAATCAACCCGAGGCTCTGTGGTTAAATTTAAGGTTTGTATTAGCCACTAAGTGTGAGCATCAGTCAAGGACATACAAATTTGCTGTGGAGATGTTATGGGAGGTGAGAACCATGTGAGGAGAACCAGAAATGCAGAAAAAAAGTGTTTTCAAAAGTTTTATTAACTCTCTTCCTGATCCCGATCCCCAGATGTATTAGAGAAGTACTCCAAATATGGCCTTTGGAGTGATATTAGAAGCATAGTTAGAATGAGCTAGATAAGAGCAAGTGTTTACTAGAACACTCAGTCACTCTGAAGAGTTATTTGCTGTCCTGATAGCGCACACACACGGTTGGACTGTCTTGGAGAATCTAGAGGTGAGTGAAAGGAGGAGTCCTTGAAACGTTTGCTCTGAGATCATCTTTAAACCGTCAGCCAAAAATAGCCCGTGAAGTCTTCTTCAAACCAAGCAGTAGTTTAGTTTAGGGTAAAAAATGTCCCCTTGAGCACTGCCCTCCTTTCAGAACTTTCTCTAGGGGAGCCAGCTGACAACAGCAGCTCAAACATTAGGGAGGAACCGCAGGAGGTGATAGGGAGGAAGCAGCCCAGAGGAGGCCAGAGGTGGTTGCACAACTCGAAAAAGGTGGTGTCGCTGAAGTGGATGTACAGAAATGGTGTATATTTTGCTGTGTATATTCTCAACAACAAAAATACAATAAAGTGAAAAAATAAAGAGTGAAGGGATGCAGTTATAGAAAGGATTATATGGGATAGCATGCAGATATCACAGAAGCAAATGAGCTGAAGGAAATTACATTTACCTGCACTAGAGAGGAGTCAATTAAGATTAAAAACAAAGAAGAAGAAAAAGATAGAAACAGATTTGATGCTCAAAGATGATTGTTACGACTTTCCACGGGGTGCTACGTTTCCTTAGTGCTGGGCTTGGGGCCTGGCCAGTTAGAAAAGCTCCAGGGGCCTCCTCCCAGAGTGAGGAGAGCTGTGGCTTTCTAGGAAAGTGGGACTGGATGGTGTGTTTGAGCCTAAAGGCAAGACTATTCCTTTGCTGTGCTCAGTCATCCATTTAGAACATGCTCTATGTAGGCCTTGTGCCAAGTGCTCTTTACTTCAGAAGCTAATTCCCCACATTCCAGGAACACCTCACCACTTTGTCCCTCGGACATAGCACAGAGACTCTAGGGGGCAACCTTTTCTTTATTTAGGTTTGTGTTTTTAGTGAGATTCCAACTGACCACGTTCTGGCCTGCAGTTTTCCTCTATCTTTTCCTATCCCAGGGAAGATTTTGGTACACAAATTGGCACCATTTAGCTGAACTTGAGTTACTTATATCTTCTAAAAACCTTGTGCTATTTTTTTTAAACTTCAATAGAGTACATGGATAGAAAGTGCAATAAAGGCTCCCATTTCTTCCCTAGACTTAAAGTCCTTGACAGCAGAGACCTTGTTTATCTTGCCTGGCACAAAGTACGTGCCTGATAAACTTTAGTTGCATGAGTGAATACAAAGTGGAACTCAGTTATATGGGGTATTACAGGTTCAGGAGTTAATACTTCTCTCTTTCCATGTGGGAGAACCAGTTTGATTCCCAACCAGTGTTTCTCATGGGGAACCACCCCCCAATGGTCACTGGGGCCCTGTGTGTTAGTATGTTGAGCAGTTGTCAGCGGAGCTTCCAGACCAAAGCAGACGAGGAAGAAAGGCCTGCTTATTTCAAAATCTCTGCCATTGAAACCCTATAGACCAGAACTGACCAATCTGTTGTGCTGACTCAGTAGCTGACTCGATGGTAGCTATCAAAAAGACAGTTGTAAGTTCTTCATTTTAATAATACTTTATAGCCTCTGACATAGTAGCATCAGACTTTCTCTAACTTCAGGAGTAGGGAAGAGAATCAAAATCAGCCCAAGGCTGATTCTTAAACGATGTAGAGGTCAGACATACCTGCACTCTCCAGCTTCTCTATCAGTTCTGACCGCCGCTCTCCCCATGGCACCCTCTTCTCTGCTGGGCTTGAGGAAATACATTGAATGCATTGCAATGGCCCCACAGACCTCACATACCCTACTTATAGTTTGAGTTTTACCAGGTAAAATTCAGGATCAGGATCCATTCTAAAGTAACAAGATGCAGGTCCAGTTCATCAGTCAAGACAGCTTCCAACCAAGACAACTCTTGGCAGCTTTTCTCCCTCTTGCCACAGCTCCTCATTTCCACAGGTGTTATAGCTCTTTTGGCTCTGCTATCAAGTGCCCAGAGGCACCTCACTTCACCGGCTTGTCTCCTGCCCAAAGATCCCCAGTTTGCTTGCTTCATGGGTTGACCACACCACTGCACCTGCTTAGCTCTGTGCATGAGCAAGTCCACTACAGCTTTCTCATGCCAATCTCCTAATTCTCACTGTTTATACCATCTTATGTCATCTTGCGATCTCCAGTGCTACAGCTCTGTCTAGGAGGTCCTCAGCACAAGGACTATGGGTCTAAAGGACACACTCCACTCCCAGCGTCTTAATAGTCCCCCTAATCTCTGTTGGATTAGCCATTTTGTAAGCCTACTCCTCCACCAAGACCATGAATTGCCTGATCATTTCAATAGACCACACTCACCTAACCTGCAGAGTAATTGTCTAGTCCCTGCAAAGGTTATGTGTATTTTATTTGCATAATACAGTGTCAAATATCTTTGCAAGGAACCCCCTTTCCACCAAAAAGCAAAAAATCTTTGCAAGATTATAGCCTAACATATCATTCACAGGGCCAGGAAGGTCATATGTAAAGAGAAAGCCATTATAATCACCTTAATAAATTTTTTGTTTGTATTTTTTAATGGAACCCTTTCTGGTTTAGTTTAATTTCAAAACACTGAAACTTACTCATTTTAATATGATCTCCTTAAACCATCATCATAGGATATGAAGTTGAAAGATGATCAGTGCAATAAAGTTCTAGTTATACTAAAATGGTTTCTTTGGAAATGAAAGATATGCTTGACACATTTTGTACACATAGCCTTTAATAAGTTCTCTCTTTAAATTTAAAAGTGACTATGTTGGTTATTATTGTCTGTAAGCTTTTTCTGCTTTTTTTTTTTTTTCAGTGGAACATTTATTTACACTCTCTCTTTTGCCTTCTTCTTTTGCAGGGAAATCGTGATGAGAACCAGAATGTCAACCATCAAATGGCTCAAGAAGATGCTCAGCGTCTCTATCAAGCTGGGGAGGGGAGACTAGGGACAGATGAATCTTGCTTCAACATGATTCTTGCCACGAGAAGCTTTCCTCAGCTGAAAGCTACGATGGAGGCTTATTCCAGGGTATGAACATTCCTTTTGTGTGTGTATTTTAAAAAAATCATTTTATTGGGGCCTCATACAACTCTTATCACAATCCATACATACATCCATTGTGTCAAGCACATTTGTACATTTGTTGCCATCATCATTTTCAAAACATTTGTTTTTTGTTTTTTAACATTTCCCCCTCCCTCCCCGTTGATAATTTATAAGTTATTATTTTTTCATGTCTTACACTGACCAATGACTCCCTTTACCCACTTTTCTGTTGTCTGCTCCCCTGGGAGGGGATTATATATAGATAATTGTTATTGGTTCCCAGGGCATGAACTTTTCTTTTGAAGATTTGGCTCTTGTTTTAAGAAGTGGAAAAAATGTTACTGCTCATGCTTTTTTTTTTTTAATCACAGATGGCTAATCGAGATTTGCTGAGCAGTGTTTGCCGTGAGTTTTCTGGAAACGTTGAAAGTGGCTTGAAGACCATATGTAAGATACTTTTATGTTTTACTTGGTTTTCTTTTTAATGAGCAGGCTTTTTGACTAGTTGTTCTATTAAATGATGGAGTTAATGAAGATTTTCTGGATGCTCGTTAGGCTGAGGCTAAGCTCCTTCTGTGTTTTCAAATGTTGTAAGCTGTGAGTAGTTGGTGGTCTGATCAAATATGGCCATGTCAGAGTTCAAACTCAAACCCCACTACCATCAAGTTGATTCCGACTCTTGCCCTTTATTCTATATATTCTTGAGGCCTGTGCAGTAATACAGTATAGACTGGACCGCTTCCTTTAAGACGTGAATGGAGAAGTCCCAGGAACTAAAAACTCCACGTATACAAAAGCCATGCTGAGGCCAAAAAACCCATCCAGTATCAGTCAGCCTAGGGAAATTCTTTCCTTCGGAAATTAAAAGGCAGTCCAGTGTCCTGGTGTCAGATGCCTAATGGACTGGAAACTTCACTTCTCTTGACGACCCTGGACTAAGGAGAAGGGTATCAGCAATGAGATGTCTCAAAATATTACTGTGGTTATTACTGTACTTCTACACTGCCCCATCAGGTCGCTATGAGTCAGCATCAACCTGATGGCAGTCAGTTTTTTGGGAGGGTGCAGTAGGGGGATGGGCTTACAATAGTGTAAAATTAGTACATCCTTACCATTTAAAGGAAGAAAACTGAGGGAATTTTCCTCCATGAGAAAAGGTATCAGATTTCTGAGCACCATTCTTAAACCTTTGTTACCTCTTCTTTTATTTTAGATTAGGGTGTATCTTTTTCTCTTGCTAAGTTGCATGTTTGACTTCTAAAATTTAGATTTTTGTAAGCTTCCTTTTTAACTGGGACACAGTTGATACAGATTCTCTCCTGTACGAGGAAAAATGAACCTAAGTTAGCAAGGTTTTAGAGAGAAAATGGGATTTATTACCCAGAAGGAAGCTTCTAGAATTGAAGACAACTTGTCTTTTGCAGCTTGCTGTGGGTTAGGTATTAGGCTGCTAAGCACAATGTTGGTGGTTCAAACCCACCAGCTGCTCGTTGGGAAAAAGATGGAAGTTGTCTGCTGCCATAAAGATTCAGAATCTCCAAATCCTAGGAAGGGTCTCTGAGTTGGGGTCAACTCAGTGGCAGTAGTTTGTCTGATACAGCTGGAAGGAAGAACGAGTGCTGAGAAAATACAGTGGAGAACATCTCGACTTCACCTCATAAAACACACAAAGGTGGCCATGAAGCTGGAGGGTGGGCTTGTCCGTCAAGACATGATTCTTGTCTGAAACCGCTCTCACTTGTAGTGCAGTGTGCCCTGAACCGCCCTGCCTTCTTTGCTGAGAGGCTCTACTATTCCATGAAAGGTGCCGGCACAGATGACTCCACCCTGGTCAGGATTGTGGTCACTCGCAGTGAGGTGAGGCTTTCTCTTCTTGTCTGGCCTTACTGATTTTTCAGTGTTGATGCTTGGAAGTGCCTCGATTGGGTGTTACTGTCTGAGGAGTGAGATTGAGCTCATTGTCCTGCTGGTAGAGAGTGGGAAAAGCACCAGATGCACGTTCCCCAGCAGTGGAACAGACCCGGGGCCTCAGTGAAGGGAAGCACCAACAGATGTGAGGAGGAGGTCTGTGGAAGAAGACATTGGTCTCTTGAAGTTCTTTTTGCTTATATAAAAAGTTAGGTGAAAGACTTAGGCATATTATGCATTGGATATCAAAGAGTTTGTGAAATTTAGCAGCCCTTAATTATAAAACCATTAAAAGTTTTTACCTATATATTTTTTTCCGTTTCCTTTCCTTTTTTAAATCATTTTATTGGGGGCCCGTACAACTCCTATCACAATCCACACATCCAGCCATTGTGTCAAAGCACATTTGTACACACGTTGCTATCATCATTTTCAAAACATTTTCTTTCTACTTGAGCCCTTGGTATCAGCTCATTTTTTTAACCCTCCCTCCCTCATGAACCCTTAATAATCTATAAATTATTACTATTTTGGTTTTTTACCTATTATCTCTTCATATCAGCTTCTCATTTTTTTAACCCTCCCTCCCTCATGAACCCTTAATAATCTATAAATTATTACTATTTTGGTTTTTTACCTATTATCTCTTCATGTCAAACTAGCCTCGAATGTTGTTGTGTTTTAAGTAGCTAGCATTTCTTGCATGGCAGATGAAGGCAGGGTGGTCTACGCAGTGTTTTGCATCACACCTTTGTTGGTGATGATGCCAACCTGCGGATGAATGCTACCTATCAATTGTTTTTCTGTTTGCTTGTTTCCTGCCTTGACTTTTATTAGAATCCTTTCATTATTAAAAGAACAACCAATTATAATAAATACGAATTTTCTTTGTGGCAACTTTTTCTAACATCAGATATCTCTTCCTTATGCAGATTGACCTTGTGCAAATAAAGCAGCTATTCACTCAGATGTTTCAGAAGACCTTGGGCACAATGATTGCAAGTGACACCAGCGGAGATTACCGAAAGCTGCTTCTGGCCATTGTGGGCCAGTAGGAGAATTTTTGATGAATGGATTTACTATCCAGTGCTTATCCTTCAAAGCAGTGACTGGCCTGCATGCAGCTTTATCAACTGTTACCTAACCAAAAGAGCTTTTTACTAAGGACTGTGTCAGGGTAATGTGCTTGGTTTGCACATGTTGTTCTTGCCTTAATTCTGATGTTATTTTTTTCTCTCAATATACAATCAATGTAAAGCCATATCACAAGGATGTAGTAATAAAGCATTGTTTGTAAAGCATAATTTTCACTGCTTTCACCCTCATGATATCAAATTGAATAAAAAACACAACTAATTCTGTGTGTTATATTGAATTGAAAAAGGGTTACTTCCTTTCATAATTAGTAGTATGTCAAAACTTTATTACTTTTCTAAAAATTCTGATCTTCTGAGCTAGAAGAGTACTTGTTATCTTATTTTGCATAAATTGATATTCTATATTTATAAACACTTAACTTTCCACATAGAAAATATATTACTGTTACTGTAGCAGGGGTCTTGGTGGCCATATTGGGTAAGTGTTGGGTTCCTTCAGGCAAAGTTGATGGTTCAAACCTACCAGATGCGCCTTGGGAGAAAGACAAGGCGAGCATTCCCATAGAGAGTCACAGTCTTGGAAAGCCTATATAGGGTTGCTTAAGTTGGAATCTACTTAATGGAAATGGGTCTGAAAAACTCAAGCTCACTATCATCAAAGGCAGGGTAGAACTGTCTCTGTTAGCAGTGGGTTGCAACTTTACAATTGGATTATATGCATAAAATAGGTAGACTACTTGTATATGTGCTAAAACTCTATAAAGATCTTTATTAGCCCTTGATTTTTTAAAAAAAGATTATTTATGAAGTATTTCAAAATTTGTAACTTGTGAGCTCAAAAGGGAAGGACAGTGAGGAGGCGTTTTTCCTGTGTTACAACCCCTTCCTGGTGCATATGTAGTCATCTCTAATCACGGGGCTTACGTGCTCCCTAAGGATATATAAGCCTTGGTTAGAAATAAACCAGCAGCTTCCTCTCTTCTCCCGCACCTCCACGTAGACTGCCAAGAGAGGTTGAGGTGACCATGCTCATGAAATATGTCTGACTCCTTTATTTTACTCTCTCCTATCTCTTGTTCGCTATGACTTTACTATAATCTTTATATAGTATAACCAGACAGTTGCGCCTGTGGACCCCTAACAATGGTTAGAGGCTGGTTACTCTTAACAGTTCAGGAGCTTAGGGATACGGAAGAAAAAGTTTTATATGCCATTTATCTTCAATATTGAGTAATTACTTATAGAGAGTGTGGTACATTACATGACAGGAAGCACAAAAATTTATAATCTTAAAGATTTCAAATAAAAATTAGGTTGTAAATAAATTGTAAATATTAAAGTGTAAGTTCTGCTTGAACTCAATCTGTTTTGTTTTACAAAGTCCCCTGGCACAAATAAGAAACTTAACTTGATGAATTATTGTGTTAGGATTTGAGTGGAAGAATAGTAAATAGTCATTGTAAATCAATCAATCAAATTTGATTTAGGTACTAAGGGGTACGCAAAATAGCCTAAAACACAATCTTGCCCTTAGAGCAGCGGTTCTCAACCTGTGGGTTGCAACCCCTTTGGGCATCAAACAACCCTTTCACAGGGGTAGCCTTAGACCATCAGAAAATACATATTTCCAATGGTCTTGGGATCCGAGACACTGCTCCTCAATCCATCTCCAGGCGGGTCCACCCACATACAGATATGCCCATGTATGAGTACCTGGCATGATGGCGACATCACACCAACCCCATCACATACACCTCATATGTGACAGGGTTGGCGCCATAACGTACTTATGTGGACCAGCCATGCATGTAGAGAGCAGCTGCTGTATTGACAGCAGCAGAATTGGAGGTAAAACGACACTTAATGAATTATCATTACTGGGTAAATGTAAAATCAGCAACTACTGCAAAAACAAAAAATATCTGTACCATGGGAACTTAATCTGGATGTTGATCCGTCTTTTTATATTCAGCTGTGGTTGATGTGAATACTGTCCCCTTGTGATATTAACAGGTATGTAAAAAACAATGCTAAATCATAGGAAACTTTAATGACTATGGACTGAACTATGCCATGTATCATCTTTTGTATTATTAAAGCTATTATATATTATTATTCTCATTAGCAAACCATCCCATGATGATGGATCATGTCGAGAATAATGTTAAGAAAATATAGTGAGAATTTTTCACAGTATGGTTTTACCAGCAGGAATCCGCAATGTGTTACTTGTGAAGTTCTATCAGCCAAATCTATGAAACTGAACAAGCAAACACCATTTTGATAGCAAGCATCCAAGCTTTGCCAGCAAGGATATTTTTAGAAGCAAAGCTGATGGACTCAAGAAATCCAGACTGGACACTGGTGGCAAGTACCACAAACAAAACATAACAGCTGTTGAAGCTTCATATTTGGTGGCACTCAGAATCGCCAGAGTTATGAAATCTCACACCATTGATTAACTGAGGATTTACTGTTGCTAGCGGCCAAAGACATTGTTCAGGTTATGATCAGTGACGAATTTGTTGCGAAATTGAGTACAATTTCCTTATCTAACGACACTGCCCTCAGAAGAATAGATGACATGTTTGCTGATATTCTTGATCAGGTAATCCAGGAAATCAAATCTGCTCCACTTTCAATACTTAACATCTAGCTTGATGAATCTACAGATGTTGCAAACTGTTCACAGTTACTGGTTTATGTGAAGTATATTAATGATGGCGACGTTAAAGATGAGTTTCTTTTTTGCAAACCTCCTGAAGTGACAACTACTTGAAATGACAGTATTGTGATGTATTTGAGACAATTGGTTCATTTCTGAAAGAGCATAAGATCTCTTGGGAAAAGGTTTGTGTTGTTTGCACAGATGGTGCTCCAGCTATGCTAGGATGTCGATCTGGATTTCAACGTTTAGTACTGAAAGAGTCACCAAAAGTCATCGGAACTTACTGTAAGATTCATCGGCAAATATTAGCAACAAAGACACTGCCACAAGAGTTACAAAAAGTAAAGAAAAGCGTCATCAGTTCTGTCAATTTTGTAAAGGCAAGCAGTTTAAACAGTCAACTTTTCGCAACTGTGCAAACGAGTTGGATGCGCCAAATAATGCACTGCTATTTCACACTGAAGTGAGGTGGTTGAGAGGAAAAGTTTTAAAATGTGTTTTTGAGCTTTGTGATGAACTCAAAACATTTTATAATCAGAAAGCAAGACCACAGTTCGAAGCACTTTTCAGCGATAAAGTGAACTGCAGAAAATAGTTTACTTGGTTGACATCTTTGAGTTAAATATCACTGCAAGGACCAAATGCAACATGCCTCGATTTGTCTGAAAAGATCTGATCATTCCAAATAAAACTTCAGCTTTGGCAAAAAAATTGGATGAAAATAAAATTTATATGTTGCTATCTTATCTGTTTTCTTTGAGGAACATGACATTGAACCAGATAAAAGGGTTATGATGATAATTTCTGTGAAAGAACACTTGCACATGTTTACAGATGAAATTTCATCATACTTTCCAAATCATGCTGACACCCCATTAGCACTTGCCAGAAGCCCATTCACAGTCAAAGTTGAAGATGCTCCTGAGACAGCACAAGAGGAGTTCATTGAACTTATTAACAGTGATGCAGCAAGAACTGATTTCTCTACAATGCTAGTTACAAAATTCTGGATCAAGGGTTTGCAGTCATGTTCTGAGACTATGCTGCGCCTTCTTCCATTTCCAACAATATATCTTTGTGCAACAGGGTTTTCCAGCTTGTTGGTTATCAAGTCTAAATACAGAAGTAGACTTGTGGAAGACGATCTTCCTTGTGCTCTTGCAAAGACTGCCCCGAGAATTTCTGATCTGGTGAGAAAGAAGCTATCTCAACCTTTGCACTGACGTTGGCTTTTTATGTATATTGTCAGGGTACCTGCCCTAACACATCATCACGGGTCCAGTAGGCGCAATTGTACAGCGATAATAAGATTATAGTAAAGTCATAAAGAGCATGAGAGAGAGAAGTGAGAGAGAAATAATGGAGTCAGACACATTTCATGGTAGCAATGCTCACCTCAGCCCTGCTTGGTGGTCCACGTGGAGAGAGAGAGCTATTTAATGCTACCCAAGACTTATATTCTCTGGGGGCATGCAAGCCCCCTAATTACAGGTGAAGACGTCACAGGAAAGGGTTGTGCTATAGGTAATAAGTAATGGAAGGGTGGTTTACAGGTATCCATGCAATAGGAAGAGGAGGGATTGGGGGTATACATGTGGCAAGATGAGCGGATCCTAGATTCAGGATGGCAGCCTAAGTCTGTTTGACCTGTTCCCTGGCACCATTATCAGTAGGGTGCAAACTCCACCTACAGGAACCAAATCAATGACTGCAGGCTCTAGAGAGAAGTGGCCTATTGTCCTTAACAGCAGCAAGCGGGGTCCTACTGTAGTCTGGCAGCTGACTGTCTACAGGGAGGATGTCTATAAGCATCTGACCTCCCCCTACATGCTAGCAAAAAGCCCCTAATGTTTGGCATGTCTTTGGGGAACAAAACTGAGGAAGTCTCTTTATAATTCCACATGCATAGTGTTGCAAAATGTAGCAATGTACTTTACTGTTATATTAAGACTGTTACCCATGATGCACCATGCTTCAAGACAAAATTTCATTTATTTGTGATTAGAAATAAGTATTTCACAATATATAATTACAGTTTTGTGATTAATCACTATGATTTAATTATGTTCTCTTTGTAACATTGAAAATACATCCAGAATATCAGATATTTATATTTACGATTCATAACAGTAGCAAAATTACAGTTATGAAGTAGCAATGAAAATAATTTATGATAGGGGTCACCACAACATGTGGAACTGTTATTTAAGGGGTCATGGCATTAGGAAGGTAGAGAACCATTGCCTTAGAGAAATATAATATATACAAGTATAGCACAAGGTGGCACATGGGAAGGATAATAGGTTTAAGAGAGATGTAAGTAATTTTTAAGTTATTAAAAAGGTTAATTTTTGATCAAAAGAGTTAAACTTTTATCTGAGTTTGTAAAAGTCAGGGGATTTACCAGATTCAAGCAACTGGTCCCAAGGACTAATGAATGGATCACAATCTTTACTACCTAGGGACCAGAAGATGGTACCCAGTTACCACTACTAACCTCTCTGATTGGGACCACAGAAGGCCCCAGGCAGAATGGGAGAAAAATGTAGAACAGAATTCAAAAATCACAAGACCAGACTTAACGATCTGATGGAGCCTGGAGGGACCTCCGAGAGTGGCACTTCCACATCCCGCAGACTTGGACCTGGGCATTTCTTAACCCAGCCCCATACCCAATCCCAGGGATCAGCCTACAGGCAGACTTAACAAGTGAAGTTAACACTTGGAAGGAATAGATTGCTCAGAACAGGGAGTCATACTAGAACAAAAGAATCGCATTTGCCCTAAAACGAAGTCGAGAAAGGGCAGGGAAAAAATGGCTCCCAGGGTGGGAGGGGAGCGTAGAGATGGGAAGTAATAGACCGGAGCGTGGGTTGACAAACTTTTGAGACTAAAGAGCATCCTGTCCCAAGCAACAATAATAAAAATAATTATTTGAGATCCATAAATCTATTTTATAAACAAATGAAATCATGATCTGAATAATACCTTTTTTTTTTCCAATTATACTTCAGAGCCAGTACGTACTGAAACGAAAGCGTCACAGAGGTTCTCGAGTCGAAATCTGCCGACCACTGGAGACGGGCAAAAGGGGAGAGGACGGGCGGGAAGAGGAGAGCAAGTCATTGGGAAATAGGCTAAGTTGTTTACAATGGTGAATGCGCTTTCTTTCCTCTCGTGTCCTCGCTTCGGAGATGACAAAGAAGAGGCGTAACAACGGGCACGCTAAGCAAGGCCCCGACCATGTGCAGCCCATTCGCTGCACGAACTCCGTGCTGCGTGCCCAAAGACAAGGCCATTATGAAGTTCGTAAATAAGAAATGTCTCTGCAGCTGTCAGAGACATTTCCGATGCAAGTAACTTTGACACATGTGCTTCCCACGCTGTGCGTGAAGCTACGCGATGGTAAGTTGTGCCATTCACAACAGGCTGGTCAGGAGCCACACGGTGGTCAGGAACCGGTACAACTCCCCCATCCTGATTTAGACCTGCAGGTGCTGCCCCACGACCTCTTCCAAAGCCGATGTAAAGACTAGAAAACAAACCCGAAAGGAAATAAAATTCTATAAAAATAATAGAATGCTGAATGCAAAAATGATCTGATGTGCAAACCAGAGCCTAATCACAATAAGAAAGGTAATGGAATTTTCCCCACACACTTTTTGAAGACCCCTTGTGTAGCATGTTTTGTTGCTCCATTCATCAATCATGGACATTTGAGTTAGTTCCACATTGGGGCTTGTGTAGCTCTGGGTGGACTAGAGAGACAAATCCAGAGACATTCATATGTGTATAATAAGAAAGAGCTTTACGCAATAACATTGAGAAAACACCCCAGTCCTGTCCAGATCAAGTTCATAAGTACAATACAAATCTATAAATTCCTTTTCAGATTCACAAAACACATGCAATGATGCTGAATGCAGGATGATCACAGGCCAGTGGGTGGGAAGTCTTGTAGATCCAGTGGCTGTAGAGGCATCTCAGCGCTGCCAGGGGTCTCCACATGGCTCCTCCAGCTCCAGGGCTCTGGTACCATCAGAATAACTCCATGTGGCTTGTCAACAGGAATGTCTCTCAGGGAGTGAGCATGTGTCCTGCCTCCAGCAAGCTATTTATCTCCACAGCGCCTCCAAATGAGGTTATTAAGCTGCGACCTGACTGACAGGCTGAACTCCACCCTTCACTCTTAATAGTCTCAAATAGACTACAGACTATGTAACTACCACAGATTTATGAATAATGTTGCTATGAACACTTGTGTGGACATAATATTTTCAGTTCTTTTGGATGTATTGTTAGAGACCTGGAGCAATTACCATTTTAATGGACGGAGCTCAACACAGGCTGCAATTACAGAAGAGGTTTTATTATGCTAGCTTAAGCCAGGGCTCAAGTCCTCAGGTGCTCAACTGCGTGCACCGTCTTGGACAAGAGCCCCCACAAAGCAAATTTCAAAGTATTTATTTACAGGTATACGAAAGGGCGTTCCCAGCCCCCCTTCCCGTCAATCCACTGATTGGCTCATCTGAGGTAGGTTGGCAGTCTGGTCCTTTGTGTAGTTCCCGCGCTGGCCGTGTGGTCCTCCCCTCGGAGGCTGGGCTCGCTGAGTCGTTCCGGGTTGGCTAGCCTCAGTCTCTGGGTACGTCCTACTTTGCACTGCTAGGAAACATGAACCCACAGCCTGCCCGGGATCCCGGAGCCAGTCACGGGGCAATTTGGCTTTACAATATACCTTGGGTAAACTCTTTGAGGAACCACCAAAGTATTTTCCAAATTAATGGCAACATTTTACAACCCCATCAAGCAATGGATGAAGGTTCAAATTTCTCCTCTCCAAAGCTGTTAGGTCTCTCTCAGGGGAGAAATATACCTCAGTTCTTGGCTTCAAGAAAGAATTCACACCAAAGCCTGGTTTGTGATCAAAGTGAGTTTTATAAAGGTTAGAAGCAGTTTCAGGTTTTACAGTAAATGAAACACAAGCCAAAGTCCACAGCACAGTTGCGCAGGACCGGAACACAGCCATGCTGTGTGCAGTGCCCTGCTGTGCAGCAGCGGCTGGGAGAAAGCCAGAAAGAAAAACTTCTGGCTTTTCAGCAAACCCACCCCTCCACACCCTACCCGCTTGGGAGGTGTGGTCAAAGGTACTCGTTAACCCCATTGGCTGAATTAAGCCCACCTGGCCTGGATGGGGTCCCACCCAGGTTTACCAGCTTCCTCTCAAAGACCTGAATTGTGTGCATCCCCTCCAGCCTTAAGCAACTGGGGGAGGGGTGGGAGGCTTTGGCACTTAGAGGGACTACCCTTAATTCTGCCTCTAGCTACCTAACAAAGCCATCTAAGGAATCTTGGTGGCACAGTGGTTATGCATTGGACTGTTAACTGCAAGATCAGCAGTTCTAAACCACCAGCCTCTCCAAGGGACAAGGATGAAAGACTGCCTCATAAGAGCAGCAGGCTTCCACTCTCTCTGATTGTGTAGTAGGTTTCAAACATCAACCTGTGATTAACACTGGAACACCAGGGCTCCTTAGTCTACCCATAGGGGGTTGTCCCCTCCTCCACCCTCCCCAAAGTCTTTGAGATCGTGATAAGGAAGTTTAAATTGAGTCTGGGTCTGAAATAAGAACAGTAGACGACAGGATGTGCCCAAGCTTGTGCAAATGTCAGCCTAATTATCAAATATTCCGCTTTTGTGCTCTGTAGCTTTTAGAAAAACCACATGCTGGTACAAGTAGCTTTTTTGGAAAACTGCAAGCTAAAGATAATGTAAAGTTCCGCTTAAAAAAAAAGAAAAGAGAGAGGGACACCTGTGTGTGTTATGCCTATAAAAGCTTGTCCCAGGTCGAAGCTCCAGGTCCACACTCTGAGCTCGACAGAGTCTGGGTTTGAGCCCAATGAAAAAAGTCAGCCATTGAAAACCTTAGCGAACACCGTTCTAACACATGGGGCCGCCATGAGATTGTGCAAATCTGTTGGTGAGAAGTAACACCATTTTGCACTCCACCAGCAGTGTATGTGTGTCAATCTCAATATTACCAGCTTTTTCACAAAGTTTAAAAATACCTGTTTTCAAATTCACCTAGTAAAGCTTCTCATTTTTCTTTAAGTTCCCTTTGTTTTTTTTAAACATGGAAGGATAGTGGGAGAAAAGGTTGCCAAGAAAGCAAGATAGAAAGCTAGAAGTTGGCATGTGACCCAAAGGCGTAATGAAATGACAGGGCCCTCTTCCGAGACTGCATCGCTCCTCGGTGGTTTGCAGCCGAGATTCGGAGGCGCAGAAACGCACCCGCAAACTGCTTTCTGCGGGACGCCTACAGAAGCTCTCGCGAGACTTGAAAGAAATGTGTCGCTTGAACTCAGGATCTCGCGAGATGTGACTGGTTGCCATAGTAGCGACAAAAACATAGCCAGGGTCTCAGGTAAGGCTCTTGCAGAAAGCCTGCTCTTCGTCCGCGCCCTGCCGCCCCCCGCTTATCCCACCCTTCTGCCCCGCAGGTGAAGCCAGGCTGACGCCCGGACGTCGTCCCTCCGCGGCGCCGGCCAGCTAATCGTCGGACGCGGACTCGCGCCGGAGCCCCCGCCTTCGGCCCGCCGGCCGCCCGTTTGTCGGGTAACTTCCCCGCCAGCTGCTCCTGAGCGCTTGTCGGAAATGCATGCCTTGCTCACGGGCTTGCCCGCCCTGAGCAAAGCGTGTTACGGGCCCAGTTTCTCCCAAACCAACCCAAACCCACTGCGGACTCAAGGACCCCGTAGCAGGACTGAGTGGAACTGCCCTTGTGGGTTTCCAAGACTGACGTTTTATGCAGTAGAAAGGCCAGATCTTGCCCCCCGCCGAGCAACTACGCATGCCTCGTGCATAAGGACTGGCACCAGGCATTTAGGGACCGGAAAGATAATTAAGTCAGCACTTGTAAAAGCTCTGCGTATGAATACCATTTGTGTGGTGCTTCATCATAGCCTAAGTAGTTTTATTCTTTTAGGGAGCATTCGTAACAAATCTGAAATAGGTCAGAAAATAGAGTGCCCGTTTTCCAGAAGGTGAAACCGAGGCTTAGAGAAGTTGGACATCTGGAACAGGCATTTTATTTTCCCTTTTTAATAATTAAGACTTATTGTGGTTCAGGTGAAAGCTTGCCGAGCAGATTAGTTTCCCATTCAGCAATTTATACACGGATTGTTCCCTGGCATTTGTTGCAATCCCACCAACCTGGGATCATTGTCACAGGGGAAGTGTAAACACAGGGAGAGCAAATGCTTCTGGAAACATGGCAGGAAACGGCTTCATGGACTGGGAAGCATTTCTGCTGCTGTGCAAAGGATGGGTAGGATTTGTCCAAATGGAGAGGGGTGGGTGGAGAGAATGCCAGGAGGAAGGAAAAATGCCAAAGCACAAAAGTAACCAAGTGTGGATGTCTCTGGGAAAGAACCTGATCTCTGATTAGAACCTAAACTATGTAAGGGAAGAAATTGACTGCTCAGCGATACGCCGAGTAGATGTCTTGGTCGCATTTGGATGCCTTAAAAAAAATTTTTTTTAAGATATACATCAAAAGCATCATGCAAATGTCAACTAGCTCAAAGAGCTGATCCTTTTTTCCACCAATCTTTTAAGCAAGATGAAACCTAATGACAATTTTATGGAAGAAATTCTAATAGGGGACAAGTTTTGGAATTACCAATATGATCCAATGAGCAATGTCCAGTCAAAACAGTGCCTTCCAAGGGGATCCACTGTGTCAGTTAAGCACAAGACAGGTCAGCTCAGATAGTTATGGCAGGTGTTTTTGGATTCCAAAGTGTATAATACTGATTCATTTTGGGGTTTATTCTGAAGAAGTTTGAAGAAAATTGAAAAAATGCATTGGTGAAATAAAAGCCAGGAAAATTGTGCTAAGGAAAATTTTCCATCATGACAGTACACCTGCTCATTTTTCACGGGTATGCTTCGAAACTTACCATCATCCACCTACAGCCTAATCTGTCATTGCAGATTCCTTGTTTGTTACTGAAACTCACCATTTAAAGAGAATACAATTGTAGTTTCTCAAGGTTGACAAAACTGTTTTTAGGGCCTGGTGTCAATCGAGGCGAATTCGTCGGGAAGGGCTCGAGAAATGGAAACACTGCCTGAGAAATGTATAGACCACAGGGTAGGGAACCACGAGCAGTTTAGATATTTATAACACCTCACGCGCCATCCATCCTGGTGAAACATTTCCTTAGCTCACTGCCAGTGGACCAGCTTCTCTCTGGTGAGGTGTGTGATGTCAGCGGAATTGGTTTCCGCCCACTGGTTCCCCACCCCTGAAGGGAGGATGACATGTCAAAAACAATAACTTGAAATGTTGATATCTTTGTGTAATAAAGATTTCTGTGATTTTTACAGCAATACTTTTTGAGTTGCTTTCATATTTTCAAGTCTTGCTTTAATATATTATCCATCTGCTTTTTCCCATCTTATGTTATCCTTCTGGGCCTTCATCTTATGATCCAAAGCATACTGAGCTACTTGTTTTCTTGCCTTTGAACCTTGAAACATCTTCCTCCTTGCTTTACTGTGGGCTGTTAAAAGATAATTCCAAGTCACTTCCTATAAGGAGATTCTCCTATCAGGCAAACCCATACATGTATTGTAAATGCAGCCAGGTTAGGACCCCAGCTTCAGCACTTCTTTGCTTTATGACCATTGGTAAGATACCAAACATTTAATCAGTTGCCTTTTCATTAAACGCACATTTAAGAGTCACTTGTCAGGGCAGATATGTAGTGGATAACCCGTAAAGTCGTTGGCACACTGACTGGGACATAGTCAACAATTCCCAATGTTATTGTTAGTTGCTGGCAAGTCACTTCCAACTCATCGCAACCCATCTCATTGGGGGTCTTCCTCTTTCTCACTGACCCTCTGTTCTGTCCAGCATGCCCCCGCTGACAAGCCCAGAGTAAGTGAGAACGCCTTGTTTCAAAGGAGCAGCCTGGCTGTGCTTCTTCCAAGACATGTGTCTGTTCTGGCAGCCCCTGGTGCTTTTACTGTTCATCGCCAACAGCATCATCCAAAGGCATTGGTTCTTCATTCTTCCTAGGGCTTTGTCCAGCTCTCGTGCATGTGAAACAGTCTACAGTACCATGACATGAGTCAGAGAAACTGTAGTCCTCAAAATGACATCTTTGCTCTGTTAACACTTTAAGAGGCCTTGTCAGCAGATGTGCCCAGTGCAATGCTTGCCTGCTGCTTCCCTGAACCTTGGTTTTCCCTCGTAAACAAGATCTAATTCCCTCCTCTTCTGGGCACTTTCCTCTGTCAAAGACTGTGCCGCACAGATTACTCCTAGCCTATAATATTACCTGTCTTTTCACTGGGATATAAACTTTCTGACGTTAGGGGCTTTATATATTACTTAAATATTATCACAGTGCCTACCTTAATTGTGCAGTGAGCAATTCTGATGAATTAAATAGATTGGAGTCAAGTGATTTAAACATGCTAGGTGACTGGGTAGATGAGGAACTATCTGAAAGGGCTTGGAGGAACTATAAACTCTGAGGGAAGAATGTGTCTAATTATTCTTTGTACCACGTCTTGGATGTGCTTTAGTATGTCCTGAATCAAGTTTGAGTTGCTAAGTCCTACTTGAATTGAGTTAGAAAGCATGCCTTTTAAAGAAAAAGATTGATTGATTTTACAAAGTATTTGTATCCTTGTGTGGGAAATTAATCACAAAAGATCTCTGACTAAATAAACCAATATTTGAGGACCTCTTCCCATGGACTAAACATTCTAGATGGTTGCTTATTTCTTTCCCTCAGAATATCTTTGTAAAACTGAGAGATTTAATAACCTTTGATGAGAACTTTGGAGATAAAAGACACCTTAAAGGAAGTGGGACGTAGAAGGGAGGAGGTGAGAGGTATGGCTGGCATCTGAGCTCCTTCTGTGATGAGTTGTGCCTAATGGGTTAGTTATATGTGAAACTAGCTTTTTAGCGATTATCATTGGAATCATCCATGAGATGAGCTCCCTAGAGCGCTGCTTACCCATCAGTACAGGTTGGGGAGGAAGAACAAAGCTAGGCTGGACCTGTGGCACTTTCAAGGTTCTCCGTGGTGTTGGTTGTAATACAGTGTCAGTACTTGTGCAGATATGGTACACAAAGGAATAGGTTCATTCATTCTGTTTACAGACCCGGAGGAAGACCCACGGGGACTTTGGTTAGTTATGGAACTGATGTCATCAACAGGCAGACCCGTGCAGATCACTGTGACAGATGGATACGACTTGGTAAAGTTATTTTTGGCAAGCCATTAAATCTGTAGTTTTTTCATTCTTCTTGAAAATAGGTTTGTCCGAAGCTCAGGTGTCCCCCTCAAAAAGAATAATTAGGAGCACCGGTAGAAAGGAATGGAATTTTGTGTCATCATCTACCTTCAAAGCTCCCAGCTTTATACAGCAATGGCACTTCCTCCTCAGGCTTTCCTGTTGTCACCCCAGGATTAGAAAGCTGCATTATTGTGTGTTCTTCCTAATAATAGAATACTTAGCAGTTTGAATACCATATTTAACAGGGTGAAACAGGATGTGGTTTAATTTCTCTAGAGAGCAGTTTTCTAATTTTCCCTTTTCCCCCCCTAATTTTTCTAATTTTCCCACTTCTAAAAAAGAGTTAAGTCTTACAGAGTTTCTATTTAAATTTGATAAATTTATGATGAAAAACCAGAGTATGATATAGTGAATATATATTAGAAGAAGAATAAAATGCAAAAGATTCAGTATTATGTAGTGAAAAAAAGTATTATGTATTGAATGATAAGCCCTTTGTTTTAAAATATATTAAAATGTATGTATGAATATACATATATTAAAATGTATATATGAATGTATATGTATATATTCACAGCAAAACAGCAGAAAATATGTTCTAAAATGTTAGCAGTGCTAACATATGACTAGGTTAGAGGTGATTTTTTTCTCAAGTTTTGTTATTTAAAAAAATCCCACATACTGCATTGAAATGGGATGTTGCATTTAGCTACAACTGGAATCACTAAATAACTTTGTATCTACCCTTTTTATATTTGTGATATAGCTTGTTAACAAACAAGAAAAAATATCATTTACCCCAAATCAAAAGGTGTTGCCTGGTGCTTTTTTTGTTTTGTTTTTTTTGCCTAGTGCTTAAGACCATGCTCTGAGTATAATTATAAAGTTTTATGTTTCTGCCAACAGAAAGGCTTTAAAGGAGATACTCCAGTTACCTTTATTCGTGCAGAATTTAATCAGGTGGTTCTGGGAGACTCTGCAAAAATCACTGTTTCTTCAGAAGGGACTGCAAAGTACAACTTTACTAGCAGTTTTGAATTCAATCCTGAAGGAGGAATCACTTTAGATGACCTCGCCCACAAACCTGTGTTCTGTAAGTCTTCGTGGATAAAAACTGTTAGTCACATGAGTATTTTATGAGGACATCCTAGGAAGTTCACAGCTGCAATTCGGAAGGTTCAATAACCCAGTGTTCTTTGTGTCTTATTTGCTTTGGTAGCCTATTAATTTTAATGACTTTGTATCAAAGACTTTTTGACAGATGAAGGAGCTTTGCAGCTCATATCTCCTCCAGCTGAGTTGGGAGTTGTTTTTTGTTTTCTTGTATTGCTTTTTTTTTTTGGTATTTCTTGACTCATTGTATTTAGGGTTGCTGGATTTTGCTGCTTTGTTCCCCTCCCCTCCCCAAACATTAAAAAGTATGGACATCTCACAACTCACTGCCATTGGGTCAGTTCCAGCCCGTAGTGACTCTATTGGACAGAGTAGAAATGCCCGTTTGGATTTCTGAACCTGAAAACCTTTTCAGGCACAAAAAACCTCATGTTTTTCCCCACTGAGCAGTGGTGGATTCCTTTTTTACCTGAAATTCCAATGTAACTGAAGTCCTATGTTTTTTCTGGCAATTCTGTCTGCATTTCTGTATCTCATGTACTCATGTAAAGTAGAACAATCATTCATTTGCCTGCCCCTACCCGCCCCCCACACCCTCCTTGCTAGAGGAAGAACTTCTTAAATCCAGGGCTGGAAGAAAGAAGAATGATGAAAATAGAAACAGAGAATTAGTGAAATGGACTAATGGACCAAGCAAACCCCAGTCTCTACAACTCTGGGAGCAGTACTAGATAGAGTCTGGCTATTACTATCAACTACACTGAAAAGGATCATATGTGATCCAATGATTGTAAATAATAAAATCTAAGATCAGAGGAGGGAATTGTATTAGTGCTTAAATTCTGAGCACTGTTTGCAAAAGGCTATGGATGACAGTGAAACCCCAAAATCCATTTTCATGGTGCCCACATAGATTAAGCCTCTGGTGGATCCTCTCTGACCATAGACCAGGGATGTGAATAGCCTTGCTTTAAGACACAGTGCATTGGAAGTGACTTAGTGCATATTTAAACCCAGGAAAACCCAAACTCATTGCCATCAAGCTGGTGCCGACTCATAGCGGCCTTGCCGGACAAGGTGGAGCTGCCCTCGTGGGTTTCTGGACTGTACTCTTTATGAGAGTAGGAAGCCCTGTCTCTCTCCTGAGGAGCAGCTGGTGGTTTCCAGTAATCACTACACCATCATTTTCTCTCTCTTTGGATCCATTTTATATTTGGTCCAATTTTTTAAGACTTGCTTTTTTCATTGAGCTTTTTCCTCTATTTTGCCATTGTTGTTTTTGTTTTAAATGTTTTTTCTGCACATGAAATCCAGGATAGGTCAATCTGTAGTAACTGTAACTGGATTAATTGAAGGATAATGTCTAATCAAACAACCCCTGCCCACAGAAACATCCTGTTCAGTGATTTCTTGTGCAGGCAGGATGGACACTGCCCACAGAAACATCTTGTCCAGTGATTCTCCACCTGCCCACAAATAACCCTGCTTCCCAGAATTAGCCCAAATCACGCATTCCTGTCTACAAATGTACCCCCTTGACCAATCCTATAAAAACTTGCTAGTCTGCACAGGAGGGCCTTTTAACTCAGGTCAGAGGCCCCTCTCAGGCTTCCTCCTCTAAACCTGTTTGCTTCCCACTGTCGAGTCTCTCATCTTGTCTCTCCTGTGCCTCCAATTCTAACATTTAATATTCTAACATTTGGTACCATGTGTGAGACTGGTTGCCTGGCCTCAATTTTAGTTGAGTGGTGGCACCAGAAACACTCGCCCTTCTTTCCCAGCTCTGCTTCCCTACTAGTAAGATGCAGTAGGCTGCAGCAGCACACACTGGGCTTGCTCCTAGATTCTGGACCTTTCTCTCTTTCTGTGAAGACTGCATGGTCCCAAGTGTCAGCAGTTGACAAGGGTTGGGCCAGAGCACTCTCTGGCATTTCCCTGAGTCTTCTCTTTCTACACCATCCCCATTGCCAACTTGCTCAATATGGTAGAACTATTGAATTTTATGATATGTGAATTATGTGCAAATAAAACTTTTAAAACTGCATTCAAAAACACTTTCTGGGATTTATTCAAAGCTCAAATAAAAGGAAAGAGGTCTGTTAAAACAAACAAACTCCGATTGACAGTAAAAACCCTCAGTAAATTGTATTTGAAGGGAACTCTCTCAATCAGATGAAGGCCATATGAGAAGCTGATGTGGAGGAGCCCTTGTGGGTGCAGTGGTTAAGGACTTGGCTGCTAACCAGAAAGTCAAAGGTTTGAATCCAGCAGCTGCTCTGCAGAAGTATGTGGCAGTCTGCTTCCATGAAGATTTATAGACTTGGATGTGAGGGTGATCTGGCTGTTACATGTCACCCCATTGGTTTCCAAAAACTAAGGTTGATTTGGAAGATCTGGCTGGCTAGGCAGGTGTTTCCTTCACCTTTCCATGTGGATCGCTCCCGAAGCTGAAGCTAACGGAGGACCATCTTTCAGTCTAGGGTGGCTGTGCTCCCCTGTTAGAACGTCCACACACGCTCTTGCAGTCCATTTGTAGAAGAATGTAGGGTAGTCAAGCTTCCAAGACTCCATCCACATCCAAATGAAGTGCTGCATGTGGCAGTCTGCTTTTCAAAAAGATTTACAGCCTTGAAACCTTTCGGGCAGTTCCACTCCATGCTGTATGGTTGCTGGAGCTGGAATAGGCCTGAAGGCGTTGATTGGCTTATAGATAACATCATAGTTGGTGGTGAAAGACCGTTTCCCCTAAGATGAGGGACAAGTCAAGGATGTTTGCTCTCCCCGTTCTTCCTCACCAGTGATCTGGTGGTTCTAGCCAGCCTCATAAGGCAAGGAGAGGAAATAAGAGGCATATAGATCACCAAGGAAAATTTAGGATTTTCAGATCACATGATGGTCAACAAAGAAAGATACTAAGGATTCTATAATTATACAGATATATTATACATTTAACATATGTAATGTTCTAATAATATAGGATATACTTATAATAACAGGATATATTATTTTTTTCTTTTAACTTTTATGTTAAACTTAATTTACTCCTGAGCCATAGTTTTTGCTTCTTCCATTTCTTCTGAGAGATTCTTTTCTTCTGGGCAACCTCATCTTCTGGTTTAGGAACAACGTGTTCCTTTTCAATGAGGATCATTTCAGTGTGGCAGGGGAGCTCATGGATGGATTGATCCAACCGTGAGCTCTGTAATCCAACCGTGAGCTCTGTAAGTCTGGCGGCGCATCCTGGGAGCTTTGTTCACCCTGATGTGCTCAGTGACCAGAGAATCCACAGCTAAACCCTTAGGTTGGGAACCGATTACAAGGAACTATATGTGACCTCCTCCCTGGGGGACAGACAACCGAAAAGTGGGTGAAGGGAGATGTCAGACAGGTCAAGATATGACAAAAT